CAGTCTCATGAGCTGTAATGAAGGAATAAATGAAAAATATGCAATATGCAATGATATCTACAAATCACAGTCTTATGAACTGTAATGAAAGAATACATTATTAGTCGTTCATTATCATTACAATGTACAGATATAGTATTTGGTACACAGACACATTTTTTTCCTTCTTCTCATGAACAAACAAAATACAAAATATTCATGTAAGTCACTGTCTCATGAGTATACAACATGTTTATGAGATCACTGTCTTCTAGAAATTACAAAATGTAAAAGATTGTCTCATAAAATGGAGTTCATCAGTTGTACATGAAAATTACATGAAAGGTTTTGTCTCATGAACATTCCAAATGTTCATGAAAATCACTGCCTCATGAAAAGTACAAAATGTAGAAGATATGAAAATTGTACAGGAGGTTCATCATGAGAAATTCTGTCTCAAGAACGTACAAAATGTTCATGAGATCACTGTCTCCTAGAAAGTACAAAATGTAGCAGATATGAAAAATGTACAGAAAGGTTCATCATGAGAACTTCTGTCTCATGAATATACAAAATGTTCATGAGATCACTGTCTCCTAGAAAGTACAAAATGTAGAAGAAATGAAAAATGTACAGAAAGATCCATCATGAGAAATTCTGTCTTATGAATATACAAAATGTTCATGAGATCACTGTCTCCTAGAAAGTACAAAATGTAGAAAATATGAAAAATGTACAGGAAGGTTCATCATGAGAAATTCTGTCTCATGAACATACAAAATAATCATGAGATCACTGTCTCCTAGAAAGTACGAAATGTAGAAGATATGAAAAACATACAGATGGCTCATGGTAATCAGCGACTTGAACATTAGCTGACTTATAACGAGTATGCGAAAATTTCAAGAGGAATAGGCATATTTACTCTCTTGATTTCTCCTTTAGGCATCTGATGTAAAGTCGAACGGGGTTCCATTTAAATGGCGCCATTTTCCCGCTGAGAACTTTAGCTTCATCCCCTGTTGATAAAGACGACTTACTTCTTGAGCATGCCTTCGCTTTTCTGTGAGATCATCTTTAGTGAGGTCATCGATCATGAAGTAGTTTTCGTTGGCTAGAGATGCTCTTGTAGACTTCATAACGGTAACTTTGTCGCGATATGATAAGAACTTAAAGAGGATGTGCCGTGGACGATCAGCATCGGGCTTACCATCTCGGTGAGCTCTCTCGATTCTGAGGGTTATTCCAAATTTATCACTCATGACATTCTGAACAATCTGGATGCAATCTTCGACTGTATTTTCCGGTTTTCCAACAAGGCGCACGTTGTTTCGGCGAGAGAAGCGTTCTGCTTTGTTAAAGGTGAAATTCAAAGAAGATCACAAATATGTCAACTAATGTATCAATAGAAACTGGTAAGCTAACAGATGGCCATCGTACAAGTTTTAGGTCAACTACATATCGGGTGATTTGTAAAAATACAAATACAAACACCTCCATAGCAGCTGGGATATACGAGAGATTCACCGGAAAAATAACGATGTTTTAATGACGTCACTATATGGACCAACACTGCCCAATCAGACGACATCCCATAGAGAATGAACATAATTGCAAAGCTATTATTTCTCAAATTATAATGAGTTTAGTGTATATAAATGTAATGGCATGTCAAACCATTCAAAAGGTGATATGACCCAATTCTGATAACTAAAATCTTTTGCTCGTAAATACACAGGATAGGGGTTAATTAACAATCAAAGAAACCAGACTTTCAAATTGAAAACCCCCCGGAATGATATTAAAGGAAACCGAACCCCAAGTAATAACTTTACTTATTCTGAGAGATTTATTATGTTATTATCCATACATCTACAAGATTCCCCACCAAAGTGTATGAGAGAGGTATAAAGCAAAAATAAAGTACAGTTTCTCAGCACGACATGGGCATCGCCATTTTCTTGATAATGTGACATACTAAGCGAAGTCGTTTATCAAGTAAATGTATTCAAATTTATGGATGCTTCTTTCCCAGACGTGTGTGGTGATGAAGCATTTCATTCACCTGCTATTATCCTTTGTACTATAATTGCCAGAACGCATAAATTAGTTAGTGCTCTTCTGGGTTGAAGGTTTCTCATAAATGAAATAGATTTGTCAACTGCTATAGTGTAGTATTTATAAATGAATTTGTTACAATTGTGCCCCTGTTATTTATTGTTCACCTAATATAATTTCTATCATCTCAGTTTTTTTTTTTTTTATATTGAAGAGTAAAGGTTTAGTTATTGATTTAAAAATTCTTTCCAACTAAAGCTTGGTGCATGATACATGTACAACTTCAACAGATACGTCACATTTTTAAGAAAATGGCTGCGCCCATGTCATGCTGACAAGCATCACATCATGCCAGGAATATCTTCATTTATATATATCTTGTACATTTTCGTAAGGAATATTGTACATGACAGGGCAGGAATACATCTCATTTTTCAGAATACCTACACTTATTCTTTGGGTTTAGGTTTCCTTTAAGGACGGCATTTGTTCCCTCTTGAAACCCCGAACATAACCCGGTGTGTGCAGCTGAATATACAATGGCGTCTTATTTTGTTTACAAGCGACAGATTCCTTTATTTTTGTATCGCTGCATTTGTCATCGAAATAAAAACATGCGCGGGGTTTAGAGTGAGGCAATAGATTATACAATGTACATTTAGCCTGACGATAGGGAAGTAAGAGAAAGAACTCCAGAGAAGATGAAAACACAGGCACTGAAAATGTGTGAGATGTCATGGGACATCGTCTGCTTGTGCAAGTCATGTCCATACTGTGATCTCACACATCTCAGCAGCGCTCGGAGAGCTCATCAGGTGCTATGCCGGGGCTGTATTTAAGCATTTTGTAATTTATAATAATCATTACTTCGAATGTTTCCAAGCATTGAATTTGATAACCTTGTCGAATCAAAGTTTCAACTTTTCAATAATGAAAATAAAGTTAGTTTTTTAAATCAATGAATATCTACTTTAATCCCAGCTTTCTGCTCAGCCGATTCTCGGAGAAGCGAAGTCATCTGCGTGTCGAGTGTGGAAATCTTCTTCTCAAGTGCAGCGTTCTTTTCCTGGAGTTCGTTCACTCTTTGGGACTCGAATTCGATTGCCGCCCCCAGGTCTCGCTCGACCCTCTTTACGTTTTCGACTAGCGAGTCAACAGCTTTTGTAATCATTGTTTCAAATTTTTCAGTCATTTTAATAAAGTATCGATCTATGTGTGCAATGCGTACAGGGCTGGGGTCAGAAGTTGCCGAGCGGCTCGCAGAGTCCGACATAGCGCCAGCAGCTGCGGCGGGCAAGCTTCGCGGTGGTGATGTCACTTGACCCACGTCAAGCCCATCGGTTGACGTGGCAGGAGAGGAGTAAAAATGGTCCAAACTTACATCTTCCTCCTGCATTTCCAGGTGTCCTTTGGCCCTTCTTGCGAGTCTTGTCCTTTGAGAGTTCATCGTCGGTCGATTGCAAGTTATGTAGTCCATTTACAGCGCATATAGCGAGGAAAGTTCGAAAAAATACGGAGAGGCAAGAAACCTACGTCCTACTCGTATGCATGTCGCGCATTGACTAAGTTGACGAAATAATTCGTATATTTATGTCGTCGAGGAAAAGGATCATTTGCGCATACGCAATTACTATAGATAGTCCATAGGAAAAACAATTTAGCTTTCGGGCCCGGGTTTATAGAGTTAAATTTGTAGATATTGGGAAATTTAATTTTGTCGGTAATTGGTGGCTAGTTTTGTCAGTAATCGTTGGCCTCTACACCCCACCCCCTCCCCCACTGAAAAAGGTCTAGCGACGCCCCTGGGCATCTGTGGAAAGTGCCTTCAAAATGATCTCCAAAAAGTTCAAAATCGGGTGGCTCGAATACTAAAAATACTCTTTGGGATTCGTCGGGAAGTTACAACCTTATTAAACTTGGATATGATACGTTTGAACATAAAAGGACAGAAAATGTTTAAATGACGTTCATATACTTAGCAAAATAGCTCCTTCTTATTTAATTGATAACTTTTCGTTCGGAGAAAGACCACGAGAAGTGGTAATCTATGTGTTAAGACAATCCAGCCTATTAAGATGGACTGTACTAAACGCACATTTGTACAGAAGCGTTTGCCTATGGAATTCACTACCACACGAAGTGCAAACCAAGTACAGTTTCACAACAGAAGTTAAAAGAATGAGCGATTTATAATCATATATGATATGCTATGCACAAATATGTCTATGAACTTTCGATGTTTTCTTCAAGTTTTTGGTGTGTCCATTTTTGTATTGTTTGAATTGATTTTGTTGTGTATGCATCTGCTCAGGTACTTTTAAATTTCCATATGATATAATATAGCTTCATTTCATTTTATATATCAATGATTAAATAATAAACTTTTATCTTTTGTGCTTGTTATTTTGCTTCACTTTCAACTGTTCTTTTACTGACTTTATTTTTTATTGTAGGGCCTAATCATATCCTTAATTGTGACAATAATTTGTTTATAGTAATCATATAAATATTACTTGAACTTATAATAATTCTTATTTTCAATTTTGATTTTGAATATTTGCAGTATCTTGTACAGTCATATGCAATTATTCTGAATAATCAAATTTTATTTCCGGCAGTTTATTTGAACTAGTAACAATTTTTATTACCAATTTGAATTTGTAGTTTAAAGCACAGTATATATACAAATTCTTTTCCAGCAGTACTATTGAGTATTCAATTGTTATTTGTTAAATATTTTATCTTGATCCTGTTATTTCTTGTTTGTTTTAAATATGTCAGTTGATGTACCATTGTAATTTTGTTTAAGTCACAAATGTTTATTTCATGTATTTACTTTGTTTCACACGACCCCAATGGAAAGTTTTGTAACTGTTTTCTTAACGGTGTATAAATAAAGATATCAATTCAGTTCAATTCAATATCTATCATAATCTTAATCATAATTATGTCTGTTTACTAACTTTCTTTCGTAATTGTGGGCTTCTGCAGTGTTCCTTCATGGTCAGCGAGTTCCCAGATGAGTCGTAATAATTCATCGCAGTCTTCTCGTCGTCCTCTTCGAACCACATAGGAAGCTTGAATCGTTTCTGGTTTTGCCGCCATCATGTCAACTCGGGCTGGTCTCTACAGGCACAGACACTTAACAACAGCTTTGACAAACTTCTTAAAAATCAATACAATGCTACGCTACTATTTTACACAACAGCAGGCAGGTATGAAAGCTTTGGTCAACTCATTGCAGTGGTCTTTCGATTACCCCAAAGATCTACCAGCACCTTTTGTTGCTCACACAGCGTGTCCACACACAAAATAATTTATCCAGAAACTATACAACGAAACGTCGTATAAAGAATCATCGTATAAATTCCAGGGTGTCCACACACAAAAAAGTCGTATAAAGAATCATCGTATAAATTCCAGGGTGTCCACACGCACAAGAAAGTAATCACGAAACTCTACAGCGAAAGTCGCATAGGTGCGCAGTTTGCTACTGCGGTCATGGAATGGAAGCGAAAATGAGAGGTCAGGTCTCCTTTCGCACGAGGTCAGTTATACCGCTCTAGCTCGACTAGTTATACTAGTTACGTCCACACACAACACATTCCGTGATTAAGCATAATTAGGCGTGATTAGTTATACGTCGTTTGACGAAACGCAGGTTTTTGCATTGTTTCGTTATACGACGTTTCGTTATACAACGTATAGTTAGTAAGCGTCCACACACACAATTTCCTCATTTAACTATCGCAAAACAGTATAAAAGGCGAAACGGTATAACTAATCACGGCTAATCACGGAAAATGTTGTGTGTGGACACGGGGTCTGTCTGTTTCCTGGCCCACTTCCTGAGCTGATTTTGTAGTTGCTGTACACATGCTGTGATCCATGGCGATACGAGCGACTGTAGGACGGACGTGCACACATTATTATATGCGCGCGCTTCTATTACATGCTACTAATAGTCTGCCCAAGACTTTAAAGATATGTCCTTTTTGCAGCCAACATCAAATTCTGTAGAACTTTGCAGGAATTATAAATATGTCATGTAAGTCCTATCTGTGCAATTTAAACGTTAGCAGTGTCATAATATTCAAATTATGCAAGGAAACCCGTTAACTTGCTAAACTTCACTGTCAGACACTATTGAGTGACTGACAGGCTTTTTTTCCCTTCTTTTGTAATAACATACATAAAATGAGCTGTTGTCATTTAGCTGAACTGATTAACTCTTTGCGCAGCATAAAACGTACGACCATTCGGTACAATGGTCTGAAAATCAGACTATTGCTTACTGGCTCCAGGGGCGTACGCAGGGGGGGGGGGGGTTTGGGGGTTCAAACCCCCCCCTTTGGTATTTTTATGTGTGTAAACCCCCCTAAAAAAAAACCCCAAAACCCCCCCCCCCCCCCCCCCTTGGGTTTTTTTTTTTTTTTTTTTTTCAATTATTAAAAAAAAAAAAAAAAAAATTATACCCACGGTTAACCTAAAAAAGGTGACCTTACCCCCCCCCCCCAACGAAGAAAAATGTCAAATTTTGAAATTTTGAGAACAACAAAAAAAAAAAAGGGTCCGCTTGCCCCCCCCACTGAGCGACTTTTCGGCCGGCGCGATTTTCAAATTTTCGGGAGCAAAACCCCCCCCCCCCTTGAAAAAATCCTGCGTACGCCCCTGACTGGCTCTATAGCTCTTAAGTCGATTTGACAACTAATAGTCGTTATTTTCCCCACTTAAAGATATTTTCAAGCCCCCCCCCCCCTTTCTTTTTAAGGGAAGTTCTAAATTAGTATTATCTTTCGTTGGAATTTAACCTTTTCCTTTTTTGGCCTGCAAATGGGACATAGTACCTTTAAGCAAGAGCTTGAGCCCCAACTGGCAACAAGTTATTTCAAGCAGCTGCCGTTTTCTAAATTTACAGGTGCGATGTTATACCTTTGATGTCCGAAGTTCGAAGCACCCAATATAATTGGAAAGCTTGAGCATTGATTTTTTTCACAAAGAAATATCGTGAATATTTCACTTTTTATTTAAACTGACAATGAAAAAATCGAACAGATGATTTAATATGAACACAAAAGCCTAACTGTGTCAACAAAGTGCATACATTGCACATTAGCAGTTTTAATTCGTGAAAAATAGCAAAATTGTAAGATCCTAAAACCCTCAATTTGACACTTTTCCGATTACTTCCGGCTCACGAAAATTAAAAATGAATTGTTCTTGTACAGTTCTTTATGATGTTGGCCTATATGTCAGCTTAGTGCCCACATATGCCCAGTCGAGTAATTTTGATTAACATTTCGGGAAAGTTTGGTCCATTTCCTTTAGCTTGCCTCGTGCAAGGTGAGCACAGCTACTCGTATTTTCAGACGAGTGGTAGCGAAAAGCAATTATCATTACAAAAGCATATTTCCCTTTGAAAGTAGCCCGTTAGTTAATTGCAGCTAGGCAGGAACCTTTTTCTACGTATCTGCAAGGAAGATCCAGTTAAGCTCTTGCCTGAAATATTTTCTCCTGGCGGCATTAAGGACTTTTAGATTGAGTGGACGAGATCACGACGAACGCCGACTGATCATGCGTGTCAACGTACTCAACTACACATATTGACTACAATTAGAAATCTTTTAGATTGCACTCGACGATATACATGCATGCAGGAAGTAACACTATGAACATGGTGGACAAAGAAAGAGGACAAAATATACAGTTCCTCAGGTAGACAAAGGAACATCCCTTCACTGCTATTATGTAAAAATGTGTAGAACAGGTGAATATGCATGTACACCTGTTCTACACATTTTTACATAATAGCAGGGAAAGGATGTTCCTTTGCTAACCTGAGGAATTATGCGCACGCGGCATATACTAGTACCGTACTAGATTTAGGAAAATCAAGGTTGACGCATTCTCGATCGCCGACTGAGACGACATGACGCATGCGCAGTGCCTTTCCATGACGTCACACGTTGCAGTCAAAGCTGTCGACGTGCAAGTCTAACAGTCCCTAATAAAGATTGTACTACCAAGGGAATGAGCTAGATATGACTCCATCTCTTAAAACTCCTTGGTCAGCCCAGTCAAAATAGGCCATTTTCGAAACGTATAACCAAATGTAATGCATACCGGTAAGTGTTTGTGAAGTGCCTCAATACAAATTATTTCATTCACCTGCTAAGTATAATAGTATTTCAATAGACAGAATGAATTTCTTCTTTCTGGACTATTTCTTCATGCAAGGACTGTAAAAAAAAAATGCTAGCATTAAAGATCCTTTTTATTGAGTCTTTTTTGTTTTTGTAACCGTTAAGTCGCAAATCTCTGTTATTAATTTGTAAAAACAGAGGAAATCGTTTCCTATTTATTTCCTTTCTTTTCGCAAGAACAAAATGATATTTCTCGCGATCTCTCTTCAAGACCATTCATTCACTCTCTTTCTCTCCAAGTACCTCATTTTAATACACAAAGGGATTAAAACAAACCCGGGGGGGGGGGTTACTCAGATTATAGTCGGACGGGGGTGTGCGGCTGAGACCTCCGAACCCATACCCACATCCAAGGGTCCTTTTGCTGAAATAGGTACCCATGTCTAAGGATTTTTTTTGGTGAAAAATGGACCCATGTCTAAGGATTTCATACTTCAAATATTACATTTTTAAAGCTGTAATATTACACTCCAGCAAAGCATATATAGAGAGTCAACGCTAATGCGTATTGACCTTTAACACTGCATTATGCGTTTATAGGCAGCATTTACATTTATGAATATTCAATACACTCATAACACACAAATGCACACAAGCATGCCGATGCGGCTGATCGGCAAGTTTGACAGTGGACTCACAATTTGATTTTTTAAAATTATTCTTTCTAACATCGGAAAGTTTAAAAAATGTATTTTAATGCTATTTAGGTGTCATCAATCGTCACTAAAGTATCGATTTTTAGTGAAATTGGTTGAGTTTTGTACAGGGGTGTTTGAAATGTTGAGAATCAATAGCACAGCTTTTAATACACAACCAGGATACTAATGCACCTCTGTGTGTATTGATACAATGGCCAATCATTTTGCAGTTTCTCGATAAAATTCTTTATTAGTAAACTGTACCATACTACATGTAGTTTACAAGTAGTTTACACACATAAAGATGAAAACACCATGCAACCTAGCTGTCCTAGCACCTCTGGCATTCGTTTTAATTGAAGGGCTTTTCCTGTTTTAATTAACGTACCCGTACACGAGCTCTCAAGCATCGGCTATATAGCTCCCTGCTTGAGCCCCGCTGCTGCCCGGTTGCTGGGCAGATCAGGTACGCAGGGTATAGCTGCCGATCATATCATTTTCAGCGTGCGAAGCGCTACAAGTTCCCGGGGGGTACGATCCCTATACGGGCGGATACCATACCTAGCGCGCATTATGCCATATGTCATACCCGGTATAGGGCCCATGGAGTGCTGATATATGTGGTACCCCGGGGTCTAGTTGAGTTTACGAGCTACGGTACACCCACTTGCGTACACCTCGTACACTGGAAACGCAATCACCGAAGGATTCCCCAATATTGCCCCGGACTTATTTAGAGATGGGAGAGATTTAGACATTTAGAATGTGGGCTCGAGTATTTAGGAGCAAATCCAAAAATCCCGGAGAAAATGAGGGAGAAAAGAGGGGAAAGGAATAAATGAAAAAAGGGACCCATGTCTAAGGATTTTTTTTACAAACCAGAAAATTGTATTTATCAGCAACATGTCGTACATTTAATTTGACTTTATTGTTTGAATCAACAAGTAACAGTTAAAATAATTACAAATGTCAAATTTATTCTTTTGTACAGTATTCAATATTCATCAAATTAATAATAAAAGAAATAGAAAAATAAAGTACCTATACCATACATTGTATACGCATTTAATACACGAAAAAGCATGGAACTAAATGGTATAAACGTTATACCGACCTAGTACAACTGTACAAGGCACTGAATTGTATTTGGATTTGGTTTGTCTTTCAAGGAAAGGTTCAATTTTTCTTTCTGATTGGAATGTGTTCAAATGAATTTGAAATTGTTGGAATATTCAGATATGACAGGGAAAATGCTCCTCAGATCAAGTAAGTGCTTTTGGTTGAGAAGGGGATTCTGTTGTCATTCTAATAGGGAAACGTGTGGAATGACAAAGTCGGAGAACATATTTTGACAGAGTTTCGAATAAAAGTTATGATATCCATGTAATGTCAATATTCCCGCTGTTGTGTATTTCACATGATGTAACCTGAAGTATAATAAACAGTTTAATTCATGACAAAAACAAGCTTTAGTAGCTCTCAGGCGCGGATCTACGGGGGGGGTTTAGGGGGTTTAAACCCCCCCCCCCCCTTGGGCGGCCCCCCCCCCAAAAAAAAAAAAAAAAAAAAGGAAAAAAAAAGAAGAAAAAAAAGAAAAAAGAACGCACGCTGGAGAGAAACCCTTTCAAGTGCAAATATTGTGAGAAGATATTCAACTCATCTGGTAACTTAACCAAACACATGATAACTCTGGATATAACTGTGTATTTAACTGTTACTTGATTTAAAAAGACGTTATCATGCACTGCTTTTTATGGTCTCCATTGTGTTAATAGATGCCAGGAAAACATCACTTACACCCCAAAACACCCCAAAAAAAATCGGGTCGCCGCTTCGCGGCTCGTGGACGATGCTCCGCATCGTCATTATTTTGGTCAACCCCCCCCTTAGCAAAAAGCTAGATCCGCCCCTGGCTCTTAGTGATGCCTGGATTACATTTGCCCCCGCGCCGTACGATAAATTAGTCTACGATTTTTCGTAGACATCGTAGGAGGCTACGGGCTACGATGTTTGTGTTTACATTATCTACGAG